GAACCCTAGTCGCAGAGCTCTCAGATGCTCTGCTGGTTGTGTTTAAATAAAGAACACTGAAAACCCTTTTCTTTTTAATTAAATAGGTGGCAGCTGTTTTAAAACAAAGAAGCCGCTCGCTTTCGCTACGCGTCGCTTGGTCGCTTCTCGCTTTTTAGTGGGAAGCGGTCACTTTTTCCTACCTGAGTCGCTTCACATGCAGAAGCGAGGAAGGTCGCTTCGCTTCGTTCTCGCTTAAGCGAGGAAGCGACAACTTTTTCTAACACTGTATTTCGCACTATAGATTCTCAGATGTTAGCATAAAAGAGTGGACATAAACTAAGAGACCACATCAAGCTCTTCTCAAAGTTGCATTTTCAGAGGCATTTAAAGGATACCTTTTTTCTCTTTTTACTCCAGTATTTTCTACTCTTATTTGTATCTTCTGTAAGGGTCTACTCATATTAATGTAAGCCATATCATCCATGAAGAATGTTGCAGCTACAAAGTAGAGAAAAATATGTTCTGAAAATATCCTTCGTATATTTTATTTGTTCGTATACTTAATTACTTAAATTACCTTTTTCTTTGAGAAATCATGAATGTTGTGTTGCCAGAAAAAACATATAACGGAACAATATGAATAGAAATTACCTTTGCTCTGGATTCGCCCACATGTCACAGAGCCTGTTCCAATTTTTCGGGGTCAACTCCTGGCACTCACGAGCCTCGTTCCTCGGAGCCTTGCACTTTCAAATAGCTTTTTTAATTTGTAGCGCCATTGTCGGCTTCTATTTTTCAGAATATCCTCACAGCCTATCTTTGGTGTAATGCTCGTCCAAGTTAATTTCAAACTCCCTACAAAATGAAGAGTTTTGAAGACACTCAAAAAAAAATCAAAAATTCCTTTGCTGGTAAAACGATTTAAAAACTAACATAATTTATAATGTAATAAAATTTACCCAAATATTAGAATCCTTACATGGCATCTAATTAATGCTGCATCCTTATCATCTCTGTGATTCCTCTCCACTTGTTTGGAAGCGAAAGAAAGTTGCGAGCAATAAATTCCTAATCATTTGATTAGCATTTGCCTGATGGAAATTTATTCAGCCTTAACTGGCCATCCTTTACCAACAGCATATAAACACATCGTGTTCTCCTATAGACCTTCTTCATTTCTCAAGAACCTTTGTTCCCATTGTCTTCAACGGCACCTTTCCTGATTTCTAGTGAAATCAAGCTGAATTTTAAAAAGCTATAATATGCAAGTTCACGATATCACATTGCTAAAAAATATACAATAAATAAAAATATGGATAAAATCTCGATGCTATTAATATATATTATACTTATATTATTAGTAACCTTAACTCTGTCATGCCTACCAACCATGAAAACATTACATGTTTCAACTTAACATTATGGATGTTTCCAAATGTCAAACTCATACTCATTCGGTTCAGCCCCTTACCAACAACAACAAGATCCCCTAAATGGCCTCGGAATACTCAAAGCACTCTCGATAACTCCTCCTCTCTAGTCGATGGAACCGCTACTGAATCTGTTGCAACATCCTCTATTGGCGACCCAATCAGAACCTCCGTGTTTAACATTCCTCTTTTAAACACTAATCGTTGTTTCCCCTCCCCATCAAAAAGCCACCAACCCCACTCCAAGCAACAACTATTGACTCAGGTGTGGGTTCTTGGCTTCACCCCTTAGTACTTTGTTACAACCCACAATTCACACCGCACCCACAGCACCCCCACTCCCGCCGCGCGCCAACCTGCCCAACCTTTCATCCAACCTACCATCGCCTCTCCCCACCAACATTGAACAATCCCCAACCTATACCTCCTCGCAATTGCAATACCGCCCATTGACCCCCCCCCCCCCCTCCCCGCCCATCGAACGACTTACAGATCTAAAGCATACTCCCCCCCACTCTCTCTCTCATCACCTATCCATCCTTCCTTATACTTTCCTCCTTCTCACCCCCTTCTAAAAACATCCGCTCTCACCCAACCCCCCACCCCTCCCCCCCTATCACCCTCCTCAAACCACACCCCTAACCTTCCTAACACACTCTCCCTCTCCCCATCTCTACACATTCACTCTCCCCACCCACTCCTCCCCCCCCCCCTCCCCCTGAACTATACGCCCACACCCAGCCCCCTGCCAGTCCACCTTTATCCCCATTCTTTTGTGCTTTTATTAGAAACATACATAGAATCGCACATAATTCACAGCTTCATTATTATTAGGTTATCTGCTAGGAATACAAGCCCAATACCATTAATCACTATCACTGACAACATGATGATCCAATAAGCATCAGAAAAGTGAGTAATAACCCATCATTCAATAGATACACCCTAGTCAATTAATAAAGGTACGTAATTACTGTATTAGGAGTAGATATTACTATTGATCTGGATCAGTGATCGCTCTGGAGTAGAAGCACCTGTAATTGTGGTTTGTCTCTAGAGAGGAGACTCGTCCGCCTGGTGCCATGATTTTGTTAGAATTCTACCAAAATACTATATAATTTTCGATATTCTTAGATGTAAATCTATATTTAACCCAACCAATAAAGTTAGAAAAACCTAAAAAAAAAAAAAACTCAAAAAGAACATAAATCATCAATCTGGAAAGCCTGATGCACATCATTTCCTAATAAGAGTTTACTGTCTTCTTCTCCTAAAATTTATTGAATTATTGAAGCATCACTAGCCGAGTTAAGTAATTAGTATAACATACCAAAGATCTATTTATGTAGAAATTTTTCTAATTTGAAGGCACATAAACTATGTTTTCAAAAACGTATACCGTATAAATGGAAGTTTTTCAACCGTGAAAGTTGAAAGAAAAATCCAGCAACTTTTCACAGAGATAATCAAGAAAAGAGTGTGTGCAATGGTAAACAATATGGACAACATTACAATATATTATCTTGGAATGCTTTTGAAAGCTAATCATGATACTGCTGGAAGAGAGAAGATCATATTTGAAGAAATAATTTATGAATGCTAAACAAGAAACAACTCAGACATTGCTCTCATGGACTATTTTTCTTCTAGCACTGCAGATTGACTGGCAAGAAAAAGCAAGAGAAGAGGCACTAGACTTACTTGGGCAGCGATATCAAAATTATTAATGGCAATCCAATTCTGACATGATGGTATTATAACTGACATGACTGAGTTAGAGTATCTTAATGGCAATCCAGTTCTGCTATTTAAATGCAAGTGGTTTGATCTTCGCAAGAAGACAGGGATGCAAAAAGATAAAAATTTTACGAGCATCAATGTTAATAGATTTTGGTATATTGTACTAGCTACTCAAGCAAGGCAAGTATTTTATATGGATGATCCGAAATTGGGAGAAAATTGGCGAATTGTCCTAAAATTTCAAGATAGACACTTATATGATGTGCCAGAGATGCAAAATTCAGAGACAGGAAATGGCGAAACAAATGATGAAGTATATCAAGATGCTTCACTTGAAAGTAATTCAATTGTCCATGATACGGATAATATGTTGAGTCAACTACATAGAGATGATGTTGATTCGGTTACACTAGATGCAGCTGTAATTGAATTGGAGGCTCAGACAGAACATGAAGTTGGTTATGACGAAGAAAATTCTGACGAAGAGGATGACACAATGGTAGAGTACATCAGTGATAATGAGGAGAATGAGGGGAATGAAGGTAATAATAGTACTAATGACGATGAAGTCGATATCACAGATGATGATGATGACATTGGTTTTATGATGTAAGCTCATAATAGTAAGGTCAGTAACCTGCTGGGTATGCATCTTTTTTTAATATATTATGTTGGCGATAGGGCGAATGAAAGGTTTTAAATAATTAAGGCCATTTAGTAGTAGTGGTCTTAGGAGGTAACTATCCGGGACCTTGGTGTAGGTCTCTCTGTCCTCTGTTTATTTAACTTTATTAAATTTCTAAAGCATATTCTCCTTTTGTTTTCTCTTAAATGTTAACTTTATTACCTGGTTTCTTAGTTTAGGTGCTTTGGTAAACCTCAAGAAGCTCAATCTTTCTGTTTTTCCACAGGCTTCACTCCAGAATTTGATCATATTCTCTGATAGGCTGCCCTAGTCGATTTGCTTCCATTTTCTGTATATACTAATGCCATGTCTCCGTCCTGTGTATTTTTAGATTGCATGATGATGAGGTGACAAAGAAGGATCATGTGGCAGCTGGGCTTTGTTGCATACAATTGTTTATGAATTCTTCTTCTCAGGAAGAAGCTATAAGACACTTGGAGAACGCCAAGGTCAGTCCATTTTAAGAATTTGTTCTATTGCACATCTGCTTTATAGATGGTGTTTATGGTTATCAATGAATNCCTAAAAAGTACTGGACCAACGGTAGTTCGTACGTTTTATAAGTACAAGCCGTGTAGTACTAAGGAAGTTACACGTAAACTGCTGGGTATGCATTCTTTTTTAATATATTATGTTGGCGATAGGGCGAACGAGAGGTTTTAAATAATTAGGCCATTTATAGATGTCTTGACAAATTGCTTAAGAGTATGGTCACTGAAGAAGAAGCCGAGAAACAGGTTATTGAATTTGTCAAGAGAAACATTGGCACATATACACCATTACTAGCAGGAAATTCAGTCTACGTGGATTTTCAATTTTTGAAGAAATACATGCCGAATCTAGATAGTCTTTTTTCACATGTACTAGTTGATGTTAGCAGTGTCAAGGCATTGTGTGTTCGTTGGTTTCCAAGAGCAAAAAGGCTCCTAAAAAGGAAAGCAAGCATAGAGCTATGGATGACATTAAGGAGAGCATAGCAGGACTCAATTACTTCAAGGAACACATATTCAAGGCCTCCAAGTCTAATAAGAATCCAAGGCTTGTTGCTTTTCACAAGCTCCATGTTGTGCAGCAAACCAAAGATAATAAGAGTGTTGTTCCATTAAACAGCTAAATAATAGTATATATATTACCTTGTCCCCAGCTGCTAGAATTACTAGTTGGCCATCTTCAGCTGGCTTTTTGCTCCCTGAAACTGGAGCTTCAACAAAACAACCACCCTTTGATGTAATGGCCTGTAATCATTCACTATTAGTATTTCACTTCAACTTACTAATTCTTTGCTGTTCTAATATGTGCAGTATTCATCATAAACTTGATTCTGATAGTACACTGCTTCAGCTCTAGTGTAAAACAAGTCAAGAATTAATATTCCCACATGCAATTCCAACCTCACTAATCTTTGAAGAAGTATCAGCATCAACGGTTGACATGTCTATATACCCCTTCCCACCACATATCTGCTCAAGAGCACCATCTTATCAGGCTCTTAAGATTTCAAAGACAAATTACCCCTGCTTTAGTTGAACCTGGTCAATGATGGAATTTTGTCCAGACCAACAGATCGATTTTCTGCTGCGCTTTCTGCTGCACATTGTTCAGTGACCACTACAACCTTCTAATGGTATATAACACCACTTGTTCGTCTTTGGGTGCATGATGGTACAACAGTGTAAATAACTAGATGATTCCAGCTGCTTGAAAGCCTTCAAGCCAGTCATGATCCTAATGAGCACAGCTACTGCAGTCAATATGACCTCTACCTTTGTTTTTTGCCAAAAAAGGATTGTAGTTTTCCACGAGATGTTTATAAATTGATCCTTTAGTACAACCAATTGGATATTCCTGTTTTCTGGTAATTCTTTTTACTAAAAATTGCTAGGAACCTCAGACCTCTTGAGCCGAGGGTCTTTCGGAAACAGCCTCTCTATTCCTTCGGGGTAGGGGTAAGGTCTGCGTACACACTACCCTCCCCAAACCCCACTAGTGGGATTTCACTGGGTCGTTGTTGTTGTTGTTGTTGTTGTTGTTGTTGTTGTTGTTGTTATTGATGTCTTGAGGTAATATCCGCCTGTGTATGTCTCTCTGTCCTCTGTTTATTCTACTTTAAATTTCTAAAGCAGATTCTCCTTTTGTTTTCTCTTAAATGTTAACTTTATTAGTGTCTATCACATGAACTCCGAATAGTGAAAGAGTAAATAAATTATCCGCTTAATGCTTTAAGTGTTATGAACAGATGGTTGGCATATTGCTCTTCCTTTCTTTTATGTATCACCAACTTGCTCAGCCCTTTCGTTTTATTTGAAAATTTTCTTGGTCCTCTAGGATGGCTTGCAAGTTGCAGTATATGTGTAAAGTAATATAATACTTTGATTATTTTTCTGGAAAATCATGTGAAGTGTAGAATCCATCTATTATGGCTCTATTATTTGAGTACCTCAATCTAATATGACACTGTTTCTTTACCTTGCTGTAGGCATTTGATCTAATTGTGGGACGAAAATTTTGATATGTATGGATTCTTATATGTGCAAGTATTTACAGTTTTGATAGTGATTTTAATTGTTTATAAGATTTTTTTGTAATTGTAGGTAATTTGCAGAGGAGTTGCAGATGGCCGTGACTTGGAACCACTGACCAATGAGGTGCATGATTGAAACCATATGAAACGTCTCAAGGTGTCTTTTAGTACTTAAACTACTGTTCATCTCTTAAGTTTTCATCTATTACGTGAAGTTATTTTATTGTATCAGCAGCTTTCGATACTTCTCTGCCTCTCCCATATTGCATTCCTGAACTCGGCAATATATATATATATTTGAGCAATTTTTGGATAAAGCAACAGTTGCTGAAAACTATTATCCTCAAACCTTTTCATGTACTCAGTCTCCTTTTAATATACCACAGTTGGTATCAGTCATGGCCAGCTTGCGCACCAGAGAGTTGTTGGGATGGATCATGAATTTCACATCATATAATGAAGTTTACAACATTTTTGATACATGTATTTGCAAGAAAATCTTGTGAGGGAAATCTATGCTTTCGGATTTGAGAATTCATTTGCTATTCAACATATGACTATTCTTCTGTGCAAAGTCTTGATGTTAACTAACATGCACAGTTTAGAACTAAAAAGACAATTTTATGCTGACTTAATACTATATATGTTTCATTAGGAAAAGAAGGGAGAAAAGAGAAATAGTGGTCTTAACCAATCTCGAAAAGGAACATGAAGCCTCTCACAATATTGTATGTTTGTTTGGTTAGAAGAGGATTTTTTTCATCAGTGTATCAAATGTGTTGCTTAGAAGAGGATTGTTTTTTCATCAGTGTATCAAATGTGTTGCTTAATAGTTTGTTGCACCTGGCATTCAATTCCCAAATGCTGGGAAAAAACTACGCACAAGATTTTTTTTAAAATTCGTTTACCAACATTTATCTTCCCTTAATTTTTTTGGTCTCTTAGACTTAAAAGGAAACACAATAACTTAAAAAATGACCAGATTAGCAACTACACTCTACCTTTTTATTTTACGGAAGAGTTCCACTGTAAGTCTACAATCGACTTAACATCTTATTCCAGTTTTCAATAAAAAAAATAATTAGATCTATATTAACAAACATAACATTCCATGATAAGTTTTTTTCTATAAAATGAGCATTTAACTTTACCTCTCAAATTAAAAAGAAGTGTTCTTCGAAAACTCTGTAATTATGAAATCTAAAGAAGTAGTGAATGCTTTATTTATTTATTTTGACATGATTTTCTGTTTGATTTTTCATATGTTTTCTTATGTTACATCTGGCATTATATAACACGTATTTTTTTTTTGCCATTATAAAAATCTAAATTCTTTTGAATCAAATAAATATAAAATAAAGATATTTGACTGCGCGACGCGCGGGCCAATTAACTAGTTATTTGACAGCTGAGGTATTATGTTGGACTCCATATGCTCGGATTATGTTATAGATATAAGTCCATATATAGACTGTTCCTATCTAAACAATATGAAATTTTGTAGCAGCAAGTGTTCCTTGGGTTCTATTAAATTTTAATATGGTTTTTTGGTTTTATATTTTCTAAAGTTAGATATGGCAATAGAATCAAAATGAATATGTAGGTCATATAGACTTCATAATAGAACTTTATAAAATGGGATTCAAGTTTCTCGAACTTGATAATTTTTCAAGATGGATGCTTGAGTCATAAGATTAATTAGTCCTAAAGTAACTTTTTGTATCATATATGAACAAAACTATATCTTTTAGTTTTTTACTATGAATCTTTTTTTGTCGCCAATAATTGTACTATTCAACTACAAAATTCAAGTCGTAGCCATTTAAAAATCATATTTTTCGTGACAAAAATTTTGTTGTGACTAAATTTTAGGTTAAACAGAGACAATTAAATAATTGTCACTAATTATTTGCACTATTAGTGACAAAAACTAATGTCATAATAAATTAGAAACTTTTGTAGCTAAAGTTTACCATGTTTAACTACAAATTTTATTTTGTCACTATTGTAATAACGCATTTTTTGTGACGAAATTTTTTCGTGTCCAAAGTTTTACCAATTTTAAGACAAATTATGATTTGTCACAAATTGGATACATCATTAGTGATAAAATAATATGTCACCAATTGTATAAAATTCGTGGCTAATGTTATTAAATAATGGCGCCAAGTTATTTTTTGGTGGGAAACTTTAGTGGACAAAACTTTTGCTACGAAATTTTATGTTTCGTCACTAAAAGTATGCGGATTATGTATCTAAACACGAAACATAATTTTCGTCACGAAAAGTGAGTAATTAGTGACGAATTTTGTGTCGTGGCTAAAAGTTTTGTAGCTAAATATCACATTTGTTGTAGTGTTTTAGCATATTTCAAATTAAATTCAATCGCCTTCAAACTTCGGATTCAACTTTGTATTAGTATTTCCAACAAGAATCTATGCTACCCAATTAATTTTTCATACAAAATTCAAATCTCATATAAAACTCAATTTCTCCGAAGTGCGACGATGGCGCTTTTAATGTGAAACTCAAAATTTCTCCACCCAAATCATTCACTTCCCATCAATATTCAAATTTTTCCATTCAAACAAATATGAATCAGTGCACATGAGTCCATTTGGAATTCTTTCTCTACTTTTATTGATTAATAAATCAACTGAGAAGAGAACAATGTAAGATACACCAACATATAAATTGAAACAAATTTTGTACAAATTTAATACAAATTTGAATGTCTACAACAATATACATAGTAAAAATAAAATTCATACAACTAATTATATAATTTATAACTTACCTACAACTTTCATACATTATTTATACCCAGTTATATTCAAATACAATATCATACAACTTAAATACAATTTTTATACAAATTTTATACAATGTCTTTTTGTATGTATTTTGTATATGATTTGTATATATTTTGTAAGTGGTGTGCTCTTCTTCCTCCCTGAAATTCCAGTCAAAACTTTCTGTCTTAAAATAATTTTGATACATACCAACAACTTTATGTAAAACGATAATATGTATAACCTAAATACAAATTTTATACGATGATTCATACATTATATAACTATTTTTCAACTTCCATACAACATCCAAATAAAAATATATATAATTATAATAGAATACAACTTAAATATAATTTACATATTAAGTTAATATAATTTCGTAAGTATATTGTATGTCATGTGTTCTTCGAGTTTCAATTGGAAATTCAGTCAAAATTAAGTTCAATTTTCACCAAATACCCTCAAAATTGAGATATAAACTCCAAAGAATATTTTTAATTATTTGCAACAACACTCAATCCAAACAAATAATAATTTTTGAAAACTCAAATTTGAATTCAAAGCTTTGGAACTTTTTAATGGCTGTCAATGGTGGAGAATCAAATACCTTCAAAATTTATTGATTGACAATTTCAATTCGAACACCAATTGTGCAACATGAAAAGAAATTGCTAAGTTAACACTCTACATTATAACAACTAAAATTTATTGATGAATTTCTTAGAAAAAGAGAGAGGATAAAAGCAGAAAAAAACGAAGGAATAAAATTGGGGAAAGAATAGAGAAGGAGTAAAGAGAAAGAAACGGAGAAGGGAGAGAGAGAGAGAGAGAGAGAGAGAGAGAGAGAGAGAGAGAGAGAGAGAGAGAGAGAGAGAG